GAGCAGCTGTGGCTGGATCCCGACAGGGGCTCTCTCAGGTGGAGTGCGCCGCCCTCCTGCAACGGGGAGATCATCGGATACCAGGTACCCAGGGAGCAGGGCAGACCCTCACCTCCCGGCCTGGAGCTCTGTGCAGGCACACTGGGAACTGTGGGAAAGGGACAGCTGGCATGAGCCACAGTTCCCAGCCAGTAAATATCTGACTTTGATGAGCACAAGCATTTTCTGTGTCATTTTCAACATTCTTCATGCTGCAGAGATGCCCAGAGAGGTATGAGTGCTCCATGTCCTCTGGGCTACTTCCTGGGTCTGCTCTGCTCTGGGTTTGGCAAGCTTTTGGAGGTTGGTGTGCAACACATGGTGACATGTCTTCTGGGGTGGCATCCCAGGGTTTCCTGTTCCTCTTGCGTGCTTGTTTCTCATTCCCACCACAGAAAAACTTGTGGTTTGAGTAATCCTCTGAAAGTCCCTCCTGAAAGCCCCTTCTCCAGAGACCTGCCATTGAGTTTTCCTCAATGCATGGCTAGAAGCATCTCCTCTGTCCCTGGATTTGGGACACATTCCACAGCAAAACCCTGCTATCCAGTTGTGTGTGTGTGGTGGTGACATTGTTCTCAGAATGCTCTAGGTCCTCTCTGAGGACAGAGGTCTCCACAGCATGACAGGGACCTTGCAAGCTTTTTTCTTAGTTCTGTCCTGGAGAAACTGTCAGACAAGCTCTGGAAAACTTGTGAGCCTGTTCAACTGGTTTCCTGCTCCCAGACATCAGTGTTCATGAAAGAATCCTTTTATTCCACTTTCATTTGTCTACACTTTTGCATAACCCAGAATATATTTCTATAAAGACAGCAAATGAGAAGGGACAGGGATCTCATGACAAATTCAGATGATGCATGGGCAAATGGGGACCCTCCATCTCTATTACTCATGGAAATTTTAGTCTTTCTCCTTTTCTCTTAGAGAAGGCCTTCAGAGTCCAGCTTTACACAACAGAAAAGGGAAGCTCGGATAACTCGGGTGGAGAATATCACCACAGTGCCTCTTGTGTTGCAATACACCTGGGGTGACCTATCCTTGGGCTCAGTACATATATCTACAGTGTTTCAAAAGAGCAGCCTCCCTCTTCCCTTCTCAGAGGCCCAGCCTTTTGCTCGCAGAGGTTGCTGCTGACACATCCTCAGGGTTGGCTCCAAATTCCTCCTCTCCTCTGTTCTGAGCTCTGCGCATGGGGCTGAGGCTCCCACCTGTACCTCTCCAGAGCCTTGCCCAGGCNCAGCGTTTCCCTTTGTGCCAAAGTTGCTCTGCACCTTGTGAGATCCCACGTGTGCCCCTTTGGGTGAAGGCAGATTGTATTTTAAACCCCTTCAGGCCTCACAAACCTTCTTGCAGAGGCTTGAAGGGCAAGGGATCCTTCCAGAAGCCAGCATCCTTCTCTGTAGCAATCATTGCCACAAAGCCTCCCCCTGCAGCCCTGGACAAACTGCTGGCACCAGTTGCTCAGCTACTGCCCACTGAGCCTGGGGCATGGTGAATTTGGTGAGCAGGAGGTGAGAAGAAAGAAGGGTTGTGTCAGAGAAGGGGGCAGGGGCATTGTTAAAGCAGGGGATGTGAATGCAGAAGGCACTGCTCAGCCCTGTCCCCTTGCCCAGCAGTGTGGGGCAGGAGGAGAGCAGCCAAGGCACAGAGGGAGTGAGAACAGGAGCCCCCGAGGGTAACAGGGGCCTGGCTGATTCCTGTGGCAGGGATGAGCCCTGGCTGAAGGGCCCTGCATGCCAGCAGCAGCGGTGGTGCCATGGCCCAGCAAGGACCCCCTGGGCTGGCCTGGGTGACAGCCTGGATGAGAGGCTGGAGGGAGTCCCCTGGTGCAGGGGTGGTTGTGCTGGGAATGTCCCTGCTCTGGGCTTTGGAGGAGGGAATATGGTGCCCATGGACACAAGTGGGAATGGGGCAGGTTCATGGATGAGTGATCCTTCACAATTTCCATGCATCAGGAAAGGGCCTTCCCAAGAAGGCTTGCCCTCAGGTGACATCCCAGCAGATGGATGTGTCACCTTCCCTCTCTTGGCATGGAGGGATTTCTCTCCCACCACTCACCCATACACATCCTATCATCTCCAGCCCATCTAACACTGACTTTCACCTCTGACAGGAGGGTGCAAAAGGCCCCAGTGGGACTACAGACTCCAGCTGGAACCAGACCAGGTGAATTATAAGAAGAATGAAGAAGTGATGCTGAGCTGCCCTGAAGGTTTCCAGCCACCCTTCACCCGTCTCAAATGTTCAAGTGAAGTCCAGTCCTTCTCTGGTGGGAAACCTGTATACAGAGAACTCTGGACTGGAAGAAAGTCCCGAGGTGCCTGGGTCCGCATTCGCTCCAGCGTGGAGTGCAGTGGTAAGGAGGGATCAGGAGCCCTCTTGGCTGCCTTGCTCTGCCCTTCCTGAGCAGGGAAAGCAGGGTGTGGAGCACAGGAGGTTTTGGGCTCCGTGCTGTCCAGAGAATGGCAGGTGTCAAGTCCAGCCTGCAGGTCACCACTGGGGGTGTTGGTAATAAGGGTCTCCCTGAGGGCTTCTGGCAAGAGGATGTGCACAAAGCAAAAAAGCATGGGAGAGGGATTTGTGGTGGAGTTTGTGGCTGGAACATGGCACCACTGTTGGAGCAGGATCAGAGAGCTTTACTGCCAGTGTGGCTGTGAGTACCACAGCTTGTTCCATGTGGACTGGGCCCCTCCAGGTTCTGCAGCATGGTGTGTGCAGGCTTAGCACTCTCTTCTCACAGCTTAGGGCATTCATGTTCCCTCCAAGGAAGAACAGAGCTGTTCCTGATGGAATGTAGAGATTATAGGACACACAGAAACCTCAGTTTTGAATGAATGGGGGAAATTGCTTGAGTGGTAGTAGTCCAGTCATTCACCCACATTCATTCCTGTTCAACTCCTCCTGCTCCCCTTTCAGAGGGCTGCAGTGACCACCTTCAGTCTCTCCTTTTCTATCCCATTGGGCTGGGTGATGAGAAAAGTGGTCTGACTGCAACATCCTTGCATGGCTGGGGTGGGAAGGGAATAAAGTGACCTTCTGGCAATCTTTCCTTCACAGAAGCGCTCCAG